AGTCGTTGATCGGCAAAATTGTACAGTCTCGTACACGTCGGTCGATGCGGTGTAACTCGGTTCGGCGGTTCACAATTAACTCCCATGCGATCTTGTCAATTCGGCAGTGTAAAATCAACTCCATTACTTGTGTGCTTTTCAAGTCTACCCAAGGGTAGACTGTCGTGTTGCGGTCTCGTCGGCGTCGTTATAGGCACGACGCGGAAGGTTCCGAACACAGAAGCGTACGGTGTTTGTATGTTTACTGTCATTATAGGAAACGGTAGTCTAGCGGCCGGCGAGTCTGTATATCTGCGGCCGCTTTCGTCTCACTGTCGTCTGGAAATCTTCGTTCCCGTAACTCCTCTTTTAAATTTGAAAAAAAGGAAAAAGTCACTGGGAGCCAGATCCGGACTGTAGAGTATATTTCTGCAAATCCAGTAGCTTTTAAGGCATCCCTCGCAACCGAGCGGTATGCGAGTGTGTTGTTCCTCATACGCCTGACTCAAAAAATAAGCGTAATGCTGGCTGTACTTTGTAGTTCTCTTTTGCAAGTAATCAGTAAATAATATTCCTTCGATGTCCCAGAAAATGGTAGCTAAAATCTTCGACACCGACGCTTCCACTTTATTTTATTTTTTTTTCTTTTTTTTTTGTGGCCTTTCCGCAGTAGATAAAACTGCTTCTGCTGCTGTTTGGACTCGGGATCATATTGGGAATCCAAGTTTCATCGACTGTTACAATGCGATTGCAAATTTCATCCAAATCATCTTGACACATTTTCGAGAAAACTTTTCAACCCTCCAATCGTCGCAGCTTGTCTAGCGGGGTGAGCATTCGCAGTACCCCACGCGCAATAATTTTTTTCACATTCAAGTGTTCATGCAAAATCTCTGTCTCTCCAGCCCGTTCTTTAGTAATCTGTACACGTTCTACGTTCTGCATATTTATTGTTGAAACAGTCAAGCCCAAGCAGATTTCTGTAGAACCGATGAAATTTCTTTAAAAAAAATATTCCTTCGGCGTACTTCTTTTTTTTACAAGAAATTTAATCAATCATAGCGCGGTGCTTTGAAGTGCGAGAATTCTCAGTTGCTAGTGACATAGTGTTTTTGCTTGCTCGAAGAACGAAATGTTAATGAACCGACAAAAAAGTTGTGTTATTTATAAATAATAATGAGATTCGCAATTAGTACATCAGTAACGAGATGCTGTGTCACCACGAACTACCTTAGGTCGCCAACGTTAACCAAAAAAGATTAGTCAATTTGGTTGAAACATTTGGAAATATTAGATTGTCAAATATCTCTCTTCCGCTTATTTTGTCTTTGGAATTTCGCGGCTACGTACAAACCGCTACAGAGCTTGTATCTGGCAACACTATACATAATTTGAAAGGTCTTGACATAACCTATAAAACAACGCTATGCATGATTAGATTGGATATTACGTTCAACAGTTATAGATGTGTAAACATGGAGTTCACTAGCGCCGAAAATCGCGCTATTTTAAAGTTTTCCTTCGTTAAAGGCAAATCCGCTAGAGAAACGTTCCGTAAGATTATTGTCACTTCGAACCGCGGAGGAATGTTTTCGATGATTCAGAGCCGGTGAAAACGACACCATGGATAAGCCAGCCGGCGGAAGACCTGTGACGACAAATACCGATCAAATCATGGAATACATCGAGTTAGACCGGCATATGGCATCTCGCGACATCGCCCAGGAGATGGGAGTTAGTAACCTTGTCATTTGAACCATCTGCAGAAGGCTGGATACAAAAAAAATTTTGATGTTTGGGTGCCGCATAATTTGACGCAAAAAAACCTTCTGGACCGAATCAACGCCTGCGATATGCTGCTGAAACGGAACGAACTCGACCCATTCTAGAAGCGGATGGTGACTGGCGACGAAAAATGAATCACATACGACAATATGCAGCGAAAACGGTCGTGGTCGAAGGCCGGTTAATCGTCCCAAACAGTGACCAAGCAGGGATTGACGGCCAGGAAGGTTTTGCTGTGTGTTTGGTGGGATTGAAAGGGAATCATCCACTATGAGCTGCTCCCATATGGCCAGACGTTTAATTCTACCATCTACTGCGAACAACTGGACCGCTTGAAGCAGGCGATCGACCAGAAGCATCCAGAATTGGCCAACAGGAAGGGTGCAGTGTTCCACCAGGACAACGCCACTTCGTTGATGACTCGTCAGAATCTACGGGAGCTCGGATGAAAAGTTTTATCGCATCCACCATATAGCCCGGATGTAGCGCCAAGTGATTACCACCTGTTCCTGTCCATGGCGAATGCCCTTGGTGGTGTGAAGTTGAACTCAAAAGAGGCTTGTGAAAAGTGGATAATGGTCAATGTTAATTTGAAATGTGCTGCTAATAGAATAGAAAGCAGTCATTTTAAAATTAACATTAACTAAGAGTTGCTGCGATTTCAGCATTGAAAATTTCATTTCGTTTCGATGACATGGCGCCAAAGCGAAACAAACTCATTTCGTTAGGTTTTTTTTTTCTTTGATATTAACAAAACGAAATGACGTCGCTTCGATAGTTGAACATCTCTGGTATAAATGCTCAAATATAATTTGAAATGAGTACACGTTTGTCTGTGTATTAGTTATGAGGTAATGACATTAACAGGCCTCACTGTTACCGGTGCTGTTACTGTTACCGGTAAAGTAAATTTTGTTACTTTTCTTTAACACCCGAAATTGAATTTTGTATTCTGGCGAACTGGTTGCAATGTTTGAAAAAAAATTTGGCAGCACTGCTTTTTTCATCCATGTCAAATTACATTTGCCAGTTGATAAAGAAAAAAAGAAAATATTCACATATAAATGAAAGACGATGCACAAAAAAATTAAAAAGTTTTAGTAATTTGTTTATTAAATCATAAATATTTGAACCTAATTATGGAAAATATGCCTGGACAATAAAAAAAGCTGAATGAAAACTTTATCTTGAAAATTAAAGGGTTATTTTTTAGTCTCGAAAACTTATTAAAATACGGCTTTTTGCACTTTTTTTCACTTTCAATGAATTCCAGGCCTAATTTATGCCTACCCATTTTGGTTTTTTATTTTTTCTCAAACTTACAACACAAAATCAAACAGCAGATATGTTTGTTACCTCCTATTTCGCTGGTAACAAAATTTACTGAATGGTAAATTTTAATTTAATTTTTTAGGTAAATTTTGTTACCTCGTTAGAATAGGCAGTAAAGCTGACTTGTTACTGGTAGGAACATGTACCCCCTTTTTTTCTTTATGTTTGTCCGATTTTCTCGATGATGCATTCTTAAATGTCAACAACACAAATGTCGGCCGAAGTTGCTGAATTCGCATTTCAGCATCATTTTACATGGTTTTTTTCCTTTGGCTTTTTCTTCGTACATTTTCATATTTGCAACATTCTCGTTTTTTTTTTTGCTTTACTTTTACCCTTTTCTAAAAATTTGTGTAGCAAATTGTAAAGAGAATATGCAAATCAAGCAGCGCCCTGTATGTATGTACGTCGTATAATTGTTGCAGCAAAATTAATATAATATGTATGTACATAGATACATATACGAGGTGTGATCCGAAAACAACCGTTATTTTGAAATTTCGAGAGTTACGTCTGTTCGATTTTCGCTTTTTTTCTGTTATGTTGGTACACATGTCTTAATATATGTTGGCAATATCAGCCATTTCGAATTGTCAGTTTGTTTTTGACACATAAAAAGGTTAGTCGTGTTTTGGTTACTATTCGAAAAAATGGATCAGAGAAGCTGTATTAAGTTTTGTGTAAAAAATGAAATTAATGCGCAAGGACATTTGAAATATTGACTGTGGCGTTTGGTGAGTCTATTATGAGCAGAATACAAGCTCAATTGTGGTATAACCGGTTTAAGGAAGGCCGAGAAGATGTCATTGACGATGCTCATCCTGGTCCTGGAACGTTAAATGTGAAGGTTTTGCTCACTCTTTTCTTCGAGCGGAATGGTATGGTGCCTCATGAATTCTTGGCACACGCTCGTACGGTCAATAAGGAATACTACCTAGAAGTTATGTGCCATTTACGCGAAGCAATTTTTCAAAAACGCACAGAGTTGTAGAAGAAAACAAAACCGTTATTATGCCTCAACAACCGTATTCAGCAGACTTGGGCCCGCCGACTTTTTCCTCTTCCCAAAACTGAAGACAACGATAAAAGGAGAGTGTTTTGCTACGATTGTGGAGATAAAAGAAGAATCGAAACGGGAGCTTTTGGCGATACCAAAAAACGCGTTTCGGAAGTGTTTCGAGAATTGCCAAAAACACTGACATAAGTGTATTATATCTGAGGGGGATTACTTTGAAGGGGACAAGATCGTTATTGATGAATAATAAATACTTTTTGAAAAAGTTGGAAATAACGGTTCTTTTCTGATCACACCTCGTATAATCGTATGTATTATGTATAAAGGCAAATCATGAAAAATAAGCAAATTCTCAATTATTATGCAAATTTAGTTTAGTTTGTTAGCAAATTGAAATAACTGCAGAAATATTTGTATATATTTTGCTTTCGAAAATTAAATGGTAACGATAGGAAAATTTATGTTTTATCTTAGTTAAAGGTATTTTTTTAATATTCAAGTAGTTAAGTGGGTATATTCTGAGGAAGAGAGAACTGCTTTCATTTTTTTTCATATAAATTTTTAAATATTTTATTCGAACTATTTACTGTCTTATCTGATATATTATATTTGAGAAAAAAATTTTGAAATTCTAAACTGAAAATATTAATCACCTCGAACTCATGATAGGATCAACCGAAAGAAAAAAATCGTACTTTAGTGAATACCATAAACTAGAGTTTGAACGAAGGAAAATAGTGAAAATTGTTTTTTGGGAGACATTTTTACAAAAAAAATTAATTAATAATTGATATATACATACAACAACAACATGTGGCCGGTTTTTAATCATTTTTGTTTTATACCAAAACACTTGAATGCCAATTATTTTTCTCATTTGATGTTTCAGGTGGAAAATGTGCGTATGATAGACCGTTACAATGCCAAAAATCCTACAGTGGGAACCCTCTACTTGACCGCCACACATTTAATCTTTGTGGAGCCAGACAGCAATAAAGAAACATGGGTAAGTGTACTTGTAACTATTGATTTTATTTGCGATATTTGATTAAGAGATATTTGTAGTATTGTTATCTTGCTTTCAAAACCGTTAAGGCCGGAACAGAGGTTTTTTCTAAAATTCATTTCTACTTTAAAGCACAAATAAAAATAGCCGAGTAGACTTACAGCATGTTCTCAAAGCGAACCTACCCTGTTGCCACAAAACAATATAAAATTATGAAAGAAATGTTAATGCAGGGTTATCTATTTTGTTGTTTAGAAAATAAACGTAAATAAAATGCTATTAAAATGATTTCTTTCATGAAAATCCTATTCTATTGCATGAGTGCATAAGTTCGTGCCCGATTTCAAGTGCAAACTAAAATTGAAATTTTTTGAAGAAAGTGCTTTTATTAATCAATTATGTATTCGCCATCATGTTCGGCAATCCACTCCCAACGTTCAACCAATTTACGGATGCCTGATTCATAGAAATCGCGCGGTTTCTCGTTGAAAAAGGTGTCAAGGTGGTTTTTGACGTCTTCCACATTTTTAAATTTTTTTCCATTCAAATTGTTCTGCAGCGATCGAAACAAATGATAATCAGAAGGTGCAATGTCGGGTGAATATGGGGGATGCGGCATGATTTCCCAATTCATCTCCTTCAGTTTGGCCAGGGTCGGTTTTGCAACATGTGGCCTGGCGTTGTCATGATGGAAAAGAACTCCTTTGCGATTGGCCAAAATCGGACGTTTTTCATCAATTGCTTTCTTCAATTCGACCAATTGCTGACAATACTTGTTGGCAGTGATCGTTTCTCCAGCTGGCAAGAGCTCAAAATAGATCACGCCTCGGATATCCCACCAAATGCACAGCAGTACCTTCATCGGATGCAATCCACCTTTCGACATCGGTTCCGCCCCTTCGTGTGCCTGTTTCCATGTTCTTTTGCGTTGAACATTGTTGTACAGGATCCATTTTTCATCACCAGTCACGAGCCGATCCAAAAAAGGTTCGTTTTTGATCCGTCGAAGCAAAGAAATTGCTGTTGACATACGGTCCACTTTGTTTTTTTCACTCAACTGATGTGGCACCCATGTATCGAGCTTCAAAGTGTACCCAACCTTTTTTAAACGACGAAACGCAGTTGATTTGTTGACGTTCAATTCACTGGCAACCTCTTCCGTCGAAATACGTGAGTTATTCGCAACTAAAGTCCTTAGAACATCGTCATCAAGCTCAGAAGGCCGTCCACTGCGAGGTTGATCTTCGAGGTTAAAATCTCCAGAACGAAATTTCGCGAACCATTTCTTTACTGTGCGGAGTGCTGGAGCACGGTCCAAATAAACTTCGCGAATATCTTTAGTTGCAGCGCCTACTGTTTTTCCTTTGCGGAATTCGTATAACATAATATGACGCATATGATCTTTTTCGTTGTCCATCTTCCATGCGTCTTTTCACTAAGCAACTCAAATCAAAATGAAGTTATTTTATGCTTGATTTACAATTCGGACTGTCACCTTTCCAACGATATATAATATATATATATTTCTTTCACGAGCGCCACTCTCAAACGATTCGAACGGCATCCAGCGGAATCGGGCACGAACTTATGCACTCATCATATTACCGCCGCGCAATATATAAGTAAATTTTCGAGCACTTTTTAACCACGTAACTTGACGAATGTTGGTTTTCAAGTGCTTAAGAAATAAAGGTTTATCCACATAAACACAGTTTTTCACGTAGACCAGCAAATAAAGTCTAACAGTGTTAAATATCATAATCTCGATGGCCGATTGACATCGTCAGGACCGCGTAGGCCGATAGATCTCTCTCACAATAACTCTATAGGCGCTCGATATTTTGGAGAACCAAATGGGGTATGCTTCGCATTGTAATCTCCACCAGCTAAAAATATATTTCCCACAGTTATGTTACTCTATCTGAAACGTGACACGGTCAAAGAAAAATCCAACCGTTTCTTATGAGTACGGCTGTGCCACCATGAACTTTGTCATCCGAGTGCTTAGTGCTGTACAAGGATATTTCATGACTCTACAAAAATAATTTTAGGGCCAACTTGTGCTGATTAAAATTATTACCCTCCCAGTTCCCTCATATTATCAAGTTTTAAAGCATTTGGTCTTGGTTGTAGCGGAGGTTTGAAGCCATAATAAAATTATATTGAAATTAATTAATTTAGTGTTTTTCCTTCCTTTCTTTGCACTTTTTGCTTTCGAATGATTTCATTGCTTTGTTTACAAATAGCATTTGCGAAAGCCACTAAAAACGCAAAATAAAATTGTGGTATATAAAAGTGGAAGTGGGGCAATATTCTTTATGTCCTTGGGCCAACAAGCATACACAAGTATGTCCCTACACTTGAAAAAGCAAACGCGCAAGTGAGAATCAAAGAAATCAAATTGTGGTCACGAAAACTTGAAATGTGTAGATTGAATGACTTGACGACGGCGTCTGTGTCAGCTTAGTCAAAGTCACTTCTATTGAGTTCACTTTATATAAATATACATATGTATATGTACATATGTTAGTAAGTAAAAAGTCATCCATTATTTTATAATATACATTTATATGAGTCATTGAGTCAGCACAAAGTCAGCCACAGTTTTTGGCTGTTTTCTTTCTTTTTTTTTTATTTCCCATTCTTATTTTGTTTGTTCAACGAAGGCAATCGCAACTCAGTATGCTTCCTGTAGATTTTTTTTTGCTTTTGGTGTGGCTCTTGTGTCCATATGGATGCCAAGTGGGTCAGTAGCAACTGCATTGCAGGATCAAATACTAACATAAAGTGCTGCAGTTCCCAACTGAGGGAAGATATTTGAAAAGTGTTGAGTATTGAAAAAGTACACGTATGTTTTATTTTTGGCTTTTATTAATTTTTTTCTTAGTTTCTTTTTTAGGTTTTTAATTAATTCATTTATTTATTTGTTTTTTTTTTTTATTTTTTTTTTTATTCTTTGCTTTATTTTCAATATTTATTTGTTGTTTTTATTCTTTATTTTTATTTCTAATTTTTATTAATTTTTTAATTTTATTTTTTTATTTAAATTTTTTATTTTTTTTTTTTACATTTTATGAGCAAGAATTTTTAGTTCAATCGAATCAGAACGACGGGCTGATTTTTGTTAACCAAGTTTCATTAGCAGCTCTACATAAGCAGCTTGAAATTTCGTTCCACAGTTCCCTTATACCGAGTTGCTGATCAGCGCTCTCAGAGAGCAAAAGTAGAAAGCGAGGAGAAAACCTTTCGGCTGTCGTTATGATTGCAGCTTTTCGATGACGAACCTTCCTTGTGATTGTTCACGGGCGTTTTTTGCTGTAGAGAGGTGGTTGCGTAACCGATATAGTAGTCCAAGTCGATGTTGAGTCCTCTGTGGGCAGTGGATACATGTCTTCAGTATATCACAACATGATCAATCTAGTTTTGAGTTTTTCGATCATGGTACAGCAAAGTAGCTTAATGAATTTTCTTGTGCTGCAACCTAGGGCTACAGACAGCCATATTTTGCGCCCCAGCGAAATCGATCAGCGTCAATCCATATGGGGATGTTTTTCTATGTACACTCTTTGCCCACCCGAAACGTTAAACTCATCAAGCATGATTTTCATATCGTGGTGGGGGCAACGCTCATGTATATGCATCAGCCACTCATAAAAGGTATCCTTGGTCACAGCGTCGTTGGTCGTTCTCTTTAGTTGGGGCGAGACGTTCATCCACCGGGGTAAATGCCAGATGACGGAGTCTATTCCCGCCACGAATGCGACACCGAATTTGTGTTCCTTTACATGGCTACTGTATTAAATGTCACAAAAACTCACTCGTTTCCATCCTAACTCCGTCCGTCGTACTTCTTTGACGGCGGTGATGTTAGTTAGTTAAGCGTGGACATCAACCAGCTGAGCGGCGGCACCTTCCCAATTAAGTGACCGTACATTACAGAAACATGCCCTCAAATCCTTATCCTTAAAAGAAAAAGGGGTATCCCATCTGAGGAGTTGCTAACTGTTTCACTGGAGCTGGTTTTTACGTGGCGGGTCCTAAACCAAGTTGGAATTGTTTATACATTTATATAGCGAGCCACTTGCTACAAGAGAGGCGCTCGCTCGCAGCCGCATCTCTAGTAAACAGACGCAGAAATTAGACTTCAATGAACCACCAAATATGTAGGAGTAGTTCCACTGAAATTTCCTCTTTTTTAGCCGTGTCCCAAGGCTCCACAAGGGTTGGTTATGGCATCTTGCACCAGGATTGCTCACGGGTCCAGGGTGTGCTCCGCGACTTGCACTGCATATCTAGAAGCTTGACTACACCTCATTACACCCTGTAAACTAAATAAACTAAGCACGCCAAAATTATCCACACGTATTTGTCTCAATTAATTCAAATAAAAAAATATTTCTATTTCTGCACAAATTCACTTTCCTCATGCTTTGACATTTTACCCCCGAAACGGCATTCAATTCGACGTAATTACACTTGTATTCAGCTTAAAAATTTATGACATTTTTTCCATTCAAGCGACGTTGTTGGTGGTTGCTGGTTGAACCTAATTAAAAAAGTTGGTTGCTGTTGCTGTTGCTTTTGTTATTATCCCCCTTGTTGGTGTTGTTGTATATTCAAAAGTTCATTTTAACTACTTTTAGCACTTGAAGCCGTAAAATGGCATACAATAATACAAGTTTTTGAACAACAGCAGAACAAACACCACCCAGCGCGCTTGAGTAGGATTTTGCCACAGCAAATGGCAACAGGACACATAGCTACATACATACATACATACATCAACAAACACCCAGAGAGCGAGTATGTTCAGCATAGAGAATCATTTATTTGCGGACGTCATTAAATCCTGCCGCTTTGCTGCTTAGTAATTTCGCTGAAAGCAGAATGTGAAAATATTTGTTTGCTGGTATTTTTGTATTGGTGTTACGTATACGCCATGGCAGTTTGTATGGCGTTGACTTTTACACATATTCTTATAAACACTAATGCATTTATGTTTGTATTATGATAATGGGGTTAAATTTGAGCAAAATGCTTGTGGTTATTGTAAGGAATTTAATCTTTTCTCTGTTATTCAGGATTATCCTTAAGCTTTTTTGGTTTTTTATATGTGTTTCTCAGAAAATATTGCTTGATATTCTGAAAAAATGATGTAAAAATGATTAAATAAGAAAAAAAGACTCAAGAAAATTAAATGCGTTTTCTGGATCTTTATTATTAACTAAATATTGATTTAGTCCCACATCAGTGCATATACTCGTATGTACGTACATATTTACAGCTGCAAAGCCACACTTACTTACTCACTGTTTACTGTCTTACGACCGAGCTTAGAGCGAATGGCGCATTGTGACTAACTTTAATAGAGGCTTGACTTAGAGCAAAAGCAGAAGGGACTTTCGTGGAGTCACTATCACTTATAATGTTCAAGGATCCAATGAAGTCTTATGAAAGCGTTGGCTATATTTTTATAGCATATATTTTGACTTAAAGTCCCTAAATGTCTCCAAAGCTACTCCTGCATTTCGACGTAGTCTTTAAGTCAAAGATTCACTATAAAATAAAATTAACCGATTGCCTCTAATAAGAATTTCTTACACAATCCCCGTATATATAAGTATGTATAGGGTTATCCATTGTACGCTTTTGAAAATAAATAATAAATAAAATGCATTTAAATTAATATTGTTTCATGAGATTCCCTTTTTTATTAAAAAGTTTGAACCTTTGCATTTTATGTGGAGCATCATTGACTGCCAAGCGAATTTTTACAAACTTTGATCCGCTTGGGGTACTTTTCGACCATTTTTTAGACAGTGGTATCACAGCCATAGCTTGGCGAATGTTGGTGAACAATTGACATCACCAAGACGAGAGATTTCGCGTCCATGAAATTTCTCTCTCAATAAAGACATATTCGGTTGTGTTATGTGACTTTTGGCACCATCTTGTTGAACCCACACTTTTTCAAGTTGCGTACTTCAATTTCAGGCCGAAAAAACCGGTTATCATACGACTATAACGCTCCGAATTGACAGTGTCAGTCTCGCCGTTGTCGTTTTCATGGAAGCAAGTTCACACCTCCTGACCAAAGAATTCTGAGGGATCCAAATGGCACAATGTTGCTTATTTACGTATTCTCCGAGTCAGAGAAATTTTCATCCAGTGCTCGCTGTTTAAGCACTCAATCGAAGTATGTACGGCGTTGTGAATGGTCTGCTGGCTTCAGTGGGTGTGGGAACTAGATTCATATATGAATGTAGTATTAAGTCCAAGTGCGAAATACGCCATCATAACGTGCCATAGAAAATGCCAGCCCTTGAAAAAGCCGAGAAGTAGACACTCCTGCTCTTACGCCGACACCCTGGCAATGTAAGCTGTGATGCGAAATGTGAACTTCTGAGATGTTTCTTTCCTAAATTTAAAAAGTGCTATTTCCAAGTTGGTTTAGGTAACTGAAAAAAACCAGAGGCATTTACTGTATTAGATTCGAAAGATTCTATGTCCGAGTACTTAGTGTTGTTGCAGCACATAATATTCCTATAATTAGACTAGTGGAATGCTGCGAAAGTGAATATCTTAACCAGCAAGGGTTCTCCGAGGTCTATCGCTCTTCCCAGTGTTCGAACGTTTCGCCATAGTCTGCATCAAAACAAAGTTTGCAGCGACTGTGACTTGTTTTGAACAAGAACAAAAGACTCACACTATTTGTTTGTTAGCGGCTTGGAAGACTCAACGGAAAGATGCTCTATCATGCGTCTATTGCGACGTTGGAAAAGAAATTACAGTTAGCCAAGTGAAGGGAGCCGACGCCTATAAAATTTATTGTCAGATGAGAGTATGTCTTGGACCAGTGATCTACAGTTTTTTGTTGTAGAATATTTTTTAGAAAGTAATAATATGAGGTGTTTATGTTTCTTGATTTGTGGTGCACAGGCCGATAAAAAAAAACCTGGCGTTTTACAAAAATCTTTAAACCGACGTTATTAAAGGCTACATTTTGGTGTTCACTCTCCAGCGGTAAATAAATATTTGTGTACATTTTGTAAGGTGACTTTTATTATAATTTTCACGCCATTTACACATGCAAAATTCCAAAGCACCCGAGGAATTGGAATTTCAAGGACCCGAAGCAGAATAATGCACTCACTAAAGATTTTCTTCTATAAATTTATTGTTTCGTTGACGGTATGTCGTGCATTAAAAAGGCAATAAGCATTGCTCATAGCCTTCAATATGTATCATTATTCCCAGCTTCATTTTTGATTCCCTCTCCCTATTGCGCATGCCAAACAGTGATTTTTTGAGGACTTATCGGCGTCCCAACAATTTTATTGATTAACACACCTAGACAACCAAAACTGAGTTTCATCACTGAACAAAATTTTGCTGTGAATATCGGAATCAATGGACATCTCGTTCATTTACCAAACGTGCGAGGCGCTAGATAGTTGCTCGACTCCGACTCTTTCACAAGATGGATTTTGTAAGCTCGCCAACTTAGATCCTTTCGCAAAATCTTCCATAAAGTGGATGGGCACATCATCAATTGTTGCGCGCCATGGGTGATGGACTCGGGTTTTCTTCGATACTCTGGTCCTTATCAGGACTAGCGCCTTTAGTGCGAATTAACGGCATATCCACTAGAGTAAACATTTTTCAAAACCGGTTTCTCAGTGCGCGATATCTATCACGTACCGAACCATTTTCTTGGTAATAAATTTGTAGAATTTAGTAACGTTGTTCCGGAATAATTCTAAGAGTATCAAGTAACAGCTGTCAAGAAGACAAACTCCGAAAGAAGTAGTACCGCATTGAAAACTACACGTCTAAAAAAACAGCATATTTAAATGTTTCCCGCTGAATATTGAAAATATATAATTTCAATTTTTTTACTCTTTTCAAAAATTATACGTACAGACAAAGGTATGTACGTCTGTTTGATAGATTATCCTCTTAAGCCAACATATTTACGTTAAAATTTGCATTTTTATTCATCTAAAATTTATATAGATTTATTGATTATTCTTCTCATCTTCTTTACACACAGATATTACATATGCACATTGCAAATATAGAGAAATTACCGTTAAGCACAACCGGCTCACCATTATTGATACGCTGCAAAACTTTCCTATCAGTCACATTCGTTATTCCAAAGGATTCTGAGTGTCATGATGTGTACACATCATTAATGAAGCTCTATCAACCTGGTAAGTCGTGTTTGCACATATTCGTATGTATATATGTATACCTGTAAATATGCATATTAGGGTGATGGTAAATTGGCCTTCATTATGTATCTTATATGAATGAAATCATTTTTCACTTACGTTACGTTACGTTCTATGTTTTATTTAAAATTAAAAAAAAATCATCATAAATTTAGAAAGTACTATCACTGCACCAACAACTATCTTTCTTCTATCAATTTGTATATAAATAAAGTGTATTTATATGTTCGAGCCGTCTACTGTTTTACTTTGAAATACAGCTTATTTGAGGCTTAACATCTCCAATGACATTCTCGATATGTCAAATATTCAGTTCAAGGTGTGCTGTTTACGAAACGGTTAGCCTTCAACCGCAAATGCAAGAAAAATACGGACGAGCTCGCCTTTAAGACAATTGTTGCTCCAATTTATGCAGCGAACTCACCAAACCAGTTCGTTATCGGACAAACCAACAACTTTCAATATAATAAGTTCGCCATCGTTCGATGGAATTGATTATTTCATACAGGATTTTGCATAAAGACCTCGGTACCTCAGAAGGCTTATAAAGTTCATTTGAATAACTGAAGGGTATCCGATGCAACTTCACTTCGCTAATAGCCTAAAAATCGATTGGCTTAAGATGAGCATTTTCTTCGATGATCATTTTCACCGCGGTCGCTACGCTCACAAGCAAAACTGCTACACTTGGGTCTCCGAAAACCCAAAAAATAACTGTTTAGCGTTGCATATGGAGATGCCGTTACCGCCAATGGCGATTAAAACCGTGCCATGCTCAGAAATTATATGTTTTAAAATGTTGAATAGAATGGCAAGGACGATATGTGGTTTCAATAGGATGGCGCTACGTATCGCACAGACAACTGTGTTTGAACATCGCATAATTAGCTGAGACGAGGTTGTCAATTGGTCTTCTCAAACCAGCGATGGGGCTATGTTGGACTATTTTTTGTGGAGAGCCGAGAAGGATAAGTGCTAGGCCAACCATTCAGAGACTATTCATGAACGATTCAAGAGGTTTCAAGGTCGACATAGCGGTCGGCCATTAAAGTCATAGACACACACACATAACGTAAAGTGTGTTGAAAAAAGGTTACTGAAAAGCCAGCCGCAGTAGCCTAACGAAAATGGAGCTACAGGTTGTTTATTGGACATTGCCATAGAGTCAAATCATTGAAATATAATATAATCCGACTTTTTATACCTTTCATGTACATTAAGTCGTATACCAGAGTTGCCTTTATACATCGGCATTTGGCAACCCCGAGCATTGCAATCCAGCAACTGACAATTTATCAATTGACATTTTTTCGAGTCGATTATATGAGTTTTCAAAGTTGAGCCGAATCCAACAAAAGTTATTCGCGAACGAAACACTTCCAAACAAATTGGTTGCCTTTTTTTAAATTCTGGACTTGTCGCAACCGTACCGCTAGAGTAACGCAGAACTGTGGGTTTTGAGTGGAAGACAACCATTTGTTTGCTCGATGTCTTTCGAGAAATTAAGAAAACTAATCCTGGAAAACGGATCACGACTATTCGAGCTCTCTCACATCGACTGAAACAACTGGATTTTTGAGCACCCAAAATAACGATTGTATAAGTCAAACTATTGTATAGTACTGACTTGGTACCGAATAACTTCTTTTTATGCCCGTACGTAAAAAATAAACTGAATGGTCAATGCTTTTCGACACCTGAAGCGGCGACTGATGCGTTCAAAATGCATGTTTTGTAGACCCCGCGCTCAGAGTAGAAGAAATGCTACGGCAAGTCAAAAGCAATAACTCAGCATTAATTCATGTTGTGGGGCATATGGCATCATATTATTGAAAGTGCAAAGTCATGATCTTTAAAAAAAAAAGTCGCTTATCATATGACCTAACCGTAAGATCCTATCACAATTGCGGGCCAAAGTGCGCATTACAGTTTTTTTTTTTGGCGTAATGACCAGTCTTTAATTATTTCAGGGTTTTGGGAGCGACAGATACGACAATTTTGTTTATTTACGTAGCCCCCGAGTGAGAAATGTGCCTTGACACTGAAAAAAATTTTGTTCAAAAAATCGCAGCCGACTGTTTTTCATTAAAGCACCTAATAGACCTATAAACGACGTTGTTAATGGTCAGCTGGTTTCAGTTTTTATGAAATCTCTACTTTATATGGATGCTAATAACGTCATAATGTGCCGTAGGAAAGTGCCAGCTCTTGAAAACGTCGAGATACAGACACATGCGGGTATTCGCTTACAGCAGCGATATTTAAAGTGGAAAGAGCAAAACGATGCTACGCCGGCTTTGCAGTACCTCTAACTGATCCAGACTCTTCACATTTCTTTAAAATTTTAACAATTGCTTGTGTATTTCCAATATTATGTGCACCCTAGTCTCCTTCTAACACAAACCCGGTCATGCTGGAATCAGCATATTTTGCAGTCTGTTTTAACGTTTTTGACGCGTTTTGCGTTTGTTAAGCGATTTTCTGCTCTCACAAATTGTAGATAAATGCTTTCCTTGATTATTTTTTCTGGGCTGGTAACAACGCCAAATGAAGGAACTTTGAACAGCTGATCGCTAAGAAGCCTCAGTAGCACTTAGTCAATAAAGAGACGCACCATTTTTTCTCCGAAAAGTAAATTTATTTTATAAATAAATTTTGCATTAAGCGCAGCATATTTTTTATATTAAAATTAAGAAAAAGTATTAATTGTACTTGTTGAAGTCAAATATAGCAGTAAATATTCAAAAACATTCATTTACACAATTTTTGGTTAGCACAAAAGTGCCAAAAAATTATCCGAAAATCCAAAATGGAAACTTTTGCATCGAAGAGAGAAAATGTAAAAAAAATGTGGATTTTTAGAACGCTCTCACGAGAGAAAGAGTTTCGTATCATGTTGTCTTTGACATTTTCATAACCACCTGGCTTTTAACTAAAACAATATATGTGTGGTTTGACAGTTAAGCTTGACAGATGTCAAAATACAGTTCTGTCTTGAAAGCTTGAATTGGATAACTTATATAAAGACTTCGGCAGTTCTCCCTTTTTATTTTATAACAATTTTATAACACAAATTTTTTGTCGCCCTCCAGTTATTTATTCAAATATAAAAATGTCTCATTTTCAAAAAAATAAAAATATAATTTAGTTCGCTTTTTGTGATCATATTTTAAGGTAAAAAATCATCTCTAAATATATTCAGAAAAAACTCAAATTTTTTATATTTGTGAATTACCACCCTAACAAACAATTATTAGACGCGCTGTCACGCTTTCTTAACTACTCACATTATGGTTGATTAATCTAAATAATTGCTTTTTAATTACAGTTTCCATTAACAAGCTCTACTGCTTTAACTACCAACCAGCCAAGGATGACTTTCCAAAGTCATCGGGATGGGACTTTTTCAAATTGGAAAACGAATTCAGGCGTCTGCGAGTGCCAAACGATATTTGGACATTGTGCACTTTGAATATGAACTATGAGCTGTGCGATACATATCCGCGGCAGATTTACGTGCCACAAGAGGCCAACACAGCCATGTTAATTGGCAGCTCACGTTTTCGGTCCAAAGGTCGCTTGCCGGCACTTACCTATTTACACTCGAATAAGGTGAGTAATTAATGTAAAATGTAGAAAAAATAAAAAAAAAATCAAATTGCAATTAATTGGTAAAACTTCTCCGTTGTCATTAGTTTTGCGCAGATTCCCCATTTGTTGGCAAACCATACTTGCACATGGACAACTCTGCGCTAGCGATGACGCAAATGCATTCAGAAGTCTATATACATACATACATAAGTCAATAAATAAGACAAATGTACTTTATGTAAACGGCAACTACTTATCTATAAGTCTGTATGTATGTATGTTTGCGTGGTAATTTAGTCACATTTTATTATTTGCCAATTCAACTGGTCTTCTGCTGTCGGCCACAAGCTTGTACTACGCTCATTACTTTCTATTTTATTGGCCAATAAGTTGGCCATCAGTTTCAATTTCTATTCGTTTGTCCTTTGCATTGTGTATTTTCTGCTCTACATTTGGAGCGTGTGCGTACGCTCGTGCGTTGCGACATTACGAGTTGCGCTGTCATTTGCATAAATGACAAGGAGATTACTATCGTCTGAGCTGAACGGATGACAAACATACTTACTGAAACTGGTTAGTTGGGAGTGGACTAAAGCAGACGACGTGTTGAAAAACTGCGGGTTATAAAATTTGGCAGGCGATTTCTCATTCTTTCTTCCTTTTAGATAACTCCGAACTGAACCCTATCATTCGTGAGGTCTACTAAAGAGGTATAGGTTTTGATATTTGCAATCTTGTGTCCTCGTTTCGAAGATAATACTTTCAGATGTTGGTATGGTTGGTATTTTAACCTTAACTCCTCTGATCCGTAGCAAGCATTGCTACTCTTTTGGCTACAGCGGCAGTTGAAAAAGCTTATGAGAATCCATGGAGCTCTGATTGAACTGATTGCATGGGAGCCACAGGACTGTTTTTTTTTTCTTTGCTAACTTAGGCACCGCTTGCGTAATTATAGCCGAGACCATAATAGCGCGGGGTTCCTTTTTTCTCTCGGCATTAAACCTCAACTGGAAACACCTAGTGAAACTAGATCCTTCTCCGCTTTTTTTTTATTGTTTCCATCGGCGATTATTTACTGCATTGAATACTTTCAAAGCTGGTTTATTCTCAACCAGCCGAACAAAGTGATCTGGCCAGCGTAGTTCGCTGTCTGTTCATAGCCAATAACACTTCCACAAAACCTTTCTCTCAAAAACTCCTAAAGCCGACTCATTAGATGTTGCCAAGCTCTCTTGTAGAGTTTGGACTTGGTTTCGTTCGTCGAAAGAGGACTTTACTTTTCAATTGCCTATTCAGTTCGAATCAGCAACGGTTTTACGATAGACAAAGTTATCTACATCTACGAAGTAATGAGTGTCAACTGCGACGTGGTAGCCGAGACGCGAGTGCGTAGCTATTTTTGATGACGGGAGAGATATTTCATCCTGTCTTTGTCTACCACAGAGCCCATTTGCTTCGCTTTACCCACACTCAGTTTAGAGACAGCAAAACCAACGCCGCGGTTGCGTAAGCCGGAAGTTATTCTGCCTATGCGCCTACCAAATACGCAATCCAACATTGGCCGAATTCCAACTTCAAAGAAATCTTTTGACTCTATAAACGACGAGTCTTCGAGAAGCAGCGCCATCGGTTGTAAACATTTATTTATTTTATATTCCATGTTTTATAGAAGTCAACTAGTCAAGCATTTAACAATTGATGAGATGATGGCCACCAAAAGAACATAGTTGCTGCAGGCTGGCAAACGTCTTGTTGTTGAAGAGCTCTACAAATGGTCATCTACATGAAACCGCGCCATTTTAAAGCCTTGCCTTTTGTTTTCCCGCACGTAAGAGAGTAGTTGTTGATGTGTACTCTGGAGTGCTTTTTCAAACATTCCAAACCTTGCTAATTAAATATTTATGAAATGATGAAAAAATCTTATCCTCTTATGACCTTGCGCAAAAAGTTCGCAAATATAAGAGAGAAGAACACTTCCGCGGCAAAAATATTTTATTCTATGCATATGTGTAGGTAGATGATTCTCTCAATAACCCAACGAACTTTTTTGTATAAGAAGCTTTTTTGTAATTTAGCAGCATTCCAAGAACATGCTAGTGCACTCTGCCCAATCCACAAAAAGAGCTATCCTAGTCTGCGCCAATTACTATGAGATAAATCTCCTTAACATGACATATAAGGTCCTATCGAGCTTTTTGGGTGAAAAGCTAAAGCCCACCGTCAACAAAGTGATTGGACGTTATCAGTGTGGCTTTAGGCCTGATAAATCAACCATTGACCAGATATTCACCATGCGCCAAATCTTGGAAAATACCCGAGAAAAGAGAATCGAAACACACCACCTTTTCGCCGATTTTAAAGCCGCATTTGACAGCACGAATAGGAGCAGCCTTTACGCCACTGTATCTGAATTTGGTATCCCCGCAAAACTTATAGGGCTGTGTAAGCTGACAACACCAGCAGCGCAGTCAGAATTAGGAAGGACCTCTCCGAGCCGTTCGATACCAAACGAGGTGTCAGACAGAGCGACTTTTTGTAGTGTGATATCTTCAATTTGATGCTGGAGAGAATAATAAAAGCTGCGGTATCCCAATTGAACTGATGCCCAGCAGCCACTTTAACCTAACCAAACCAAACCAAATCGATTATTAGTAAACAAAGCAAATATCACTGGAAAATTCTCAACACTTTCTCAACAGTTGTCCGAAACTACAAGTTGAACTACATTTTAAAAGCAAATTTCTTAACGTAGAGTTGTTTTATTTTCAAAATATTTCGTCGTTTGGTATATTTCTACTTAGTAAATATTTATTTGCTCCACTTCCTTTTCACAATTTTTTTATCTTTCCTCCTTTTTCATTTCTCATTTTTCGCGCACATACAGGCATCCATCTGTCGCTGCAGCCAACCGTTGTCGGGTTTTAGTGCACGCTGTTTGGAGGATGAGCAGATGCTCGAGGCAATACGCAAAACAAATCCTAACACCGACTATATGTACGTTGTGGACACTCGACCGAGGGTAAGTGATATTTTATTTAAACATACATGTACATAGCTCTCTATGCGCATACATGCATATACATACATACACTTATGTGTGCTATGTGTGCCTGCATACGTGTTTAATTTGCGAAACATATTTCACTCAACAAGCCCAAGTGCAGACAGATGCGACGGCATCTCTGTAGATACCACAGTAGTTGCTGTGTGCGGCAAGTGCGCCCTGTGGGAAGTTGAGACACTTGAAATTTTCGCAATCAGACAAAAATGTTTTGGCAATATTTTATATCTTTTATATGGCATTTACTTGGTAAATTAAGTGCTGTGAGCTTTTTGGTATGCAATTAATCGATTAATTAAAGTAACAACTAATTCTTTACTATTCAATCTCGTTTTTCGATATTTGACCGTTTGTCCGCGAGCGATTATTCCGATTAAAGAAAGAGTCATTGTATATTGTAATGCTCTTGGAAAGACTGCTGAATGTGGTGCCGATTTCCCTCTCGGTGTCCAAGTATTCGGAATGCAACCTTTGGTCACGTCAAAACGAGAGGAGGTCGTAACTGCAGTTTAAATGAGGACGTAGCTAACTAATTCTGATCCCCACGACGCAAATGTGCACAGGCCACTGCAGAATCTTCTTTGTCAACGTATGATGCTATAAACTGAGTAACAGCCCTATTCTGTGCACTTGACAAATAACCAAAATATTGATAATTTATCAAGATTTTTTATCAAGCAAAAATTCATTTGGTTTTCTGTGTCAATCTTGATAAAACATAAAGCTCCAGTTTGTTGTGCTTTTCCCCACACATGTGGTGTGTAAATAAAAATCAGCTGTTTTTTGCTAACATTAATTATTTTAGAATAAAAGAAAAATAAACAAACAAATATGTGTAGTTGTATTACATACTTGTAGTACATATATTGGGAAATTCAAATGTGAAAATGTTTACATTTTGATTATTTAGTAACTATAAGGATGATATATATCTGGAATTAGGGCTTTCCCCTTTGCTTATGTACTGTATACTGGCAGAACCGTTTAGTTTGTTGTGCTTTTGTTCTTAGGATGATTTAGGTTCTTCTGGAATCCTTTTGAGATAAATTAGCAGTGTATATTTTTTATTTACATTAACACTCCCTGTTTTTATATTAGTTTCTTTCTCTGCCGAACTGAGTAATTTTATTTCTCCTCCCTTCACTTTGTCAACAGCATTTAACATCTTGCTAATTTATCAAGGAAAGAGCTTCTTATTTTTGACACTGAATAGAAAATCTTGATAAATTGTCAATCTTGATAAATAAGCAAGATGGTGAATTTGTCAAATGCACAGAATATGCCTGTGAAAGTACTCTTTTGTGCCATCCTGCTTTACGGCGCAGAGACTAATCAACATTCTGAGATTTCGAAAAAAAAATTTCGGAAGATTTTCCATCCTCAGCGTATAGGTAACAGCGATGGAACAATCTGTTATACAGTATGTAACGGTTGCCTTTATATTTCAGAATTTCGCAGCCCTGGTGTTGCAATATGGCAACTGACAACTTTCTACTGAAATTGTATTGCAATAACCTTTCAAAAAAGCTTTAGTGCACACAATCGGTTGAAATCTGTCAAAGTGATTCAATGCTTCCATTGACCACATGTAGATGGCGCACTCTGTATGAAATAAAGCTCCTAAAAAACATAATCAGCCGTTCGTAGGTCCTCTAACTTCAAGATGCATACCAAACACCGCACCTCACTTCTAAGCTGGTTAAGCTGATCTGATAATAAAACAATCACATCCGCGTATAATCATTTCAACAAACTCAAAGCTGGAGTATTCGCATCCATACGGATCACATGGCCTAGCCAGCGTAGCCGCTGCTTCTTCATTCGCTGAACTCGCTGAACTATGTCAATGTTGCCATATAACTCTTACAGCTCATCGTTCCATCGTCTGCGGTATTCGCCGTTGCCAAAGCGCAAAGAACCATAAATCTTACGCAAAAACCTTTCTCTCGAAAACTCCTAACGCCGTCTCATCGGATACTGTCATCGTCCATGGTTCCGCACCATATAGCAGGACGGGAACAATGAGAGGCTTGTAGTTTGGTTTTCGTTCGTCAGGAGAGGACTTTACTATTCAATTGCCTACTCAGCCCAAAGTTGCAGCTGTTGGCAAGACTGATTCTGCGCTGGACTGACGTTATTATTGGTCTTAATACTGATTCCTAGATAGACGAAATTATCTACAACTTCAAAGTTAGGACTGTCAACAGTGACGTGGGAGCCAAGTCACGAATGCGATGACTGTTTGTTTGATGACAGGAGATATTTCGTCTTGTCCTCGTTCACTACTAGACCAATTCGCTTCGCTTGTCAGCTCTTCGTCGACATGTTTGAATAGTTCTGCTGGTAGGCCATCAGCTCCCGCCGCTTTGTTGTTTTTTAAGAGGGCGATTGCTATTCGAATTTCTTCTTGGTGAGGTAATGGAACGTTTTTTCCATCGTGCTCGATTGGGGCTTCGGGTTCACCATCTCCGGATTCTCCATTTTCCATACTATTCAGCAGGTTGGAGAAGTGCTTGTTGGAAACTAATATTATTTGGGAATATTTAAATATAATAGATGCTTTGTGACCACTAAAAGGATATTCGGCCAAGCTGCTTTTTCAATTTATGGTATGTTTTTCGTGGTTTTTTTCGCCTCCGAACGGCCGACCGATTTGTTCGAGGAGCTTTCCATTACACTGACTGATATTCTCTTCCGACGGGCGATCGCAATAAAATAAAAATGATTTTCTCTAGTTTTGAGTGTGGGTGGGGTCGGACCAGGCCTCCAACCCTGATCATCATAATGATTGTACGCAATGCTAACCAATCGGCTATTGCGTGGATGGTCTTGGTATATCTCGATCTCCAGTAACCAGCCTAGTCTATAAGAAATAAGTACATATGGATTTTCCTGAATATTCCAAACAGTAATAATTTCATTTCTTTCATTTCCCCCTCCAACAGATTAACGCAATGGCCAACCGCGCAGCTGGAAAGGGCTACGAAAACGAAGCTTTCTATGAGAATATCAAATTCCATTTTCTCGGTATTGAGAATATACACGTACAACGCACCAGTCTACAGAAATTAATTGAAGCTTGCGAACAAAAGACACCCACAATGAGTGGATTTCTTAATTCCTTAGAATCTTCCGGTTGGTTGAAGAACATACGTTCCATTTTGGACACTTCAAGGTGAATTGACTAATTCAGTAATAAATTTTAGAAAATAACTAAAGCCCACAACTAGTCTTCCTTGCCAAATTTATTCCAATTTTATTTTTTTTTTTTGCTTATGAAGTATATTTTTTTATTTGGATTCTCTTCTTATTCTTCTTCTTTATGTGCAGCTTTATCGCCAGTGCCGTGGATAAAGGTGTCTCCGTGGTGGTGCACTGCTCAGATGGCTGGGATCGTACAGCACAGGTTTGCTCACTGGCAGCGCTAATGTTGGATCCCTACTATCGGACAATTAAAGGATTTCAGGTGAATTTCTTTTTTATTTTGGCTTTGCGCTTGAAATTCAAATAGCTTTTTTCTTGATTTCACCAAACAGGCTTTAATTGAAAAGGACTGGCTCGCTTTTGGTCACAAATTCAGTGAACGCTGTGGACACGTACAAACCGATCAGCGTGAGGTCTCACCGATTTTCACACAATTTCTCGACTGCACTTGGCAGTTGATGACACAGCGCAGTGATGCATTTGAATTTAATGAACGTTTCCTGCTCATACTGCACGATCATGTGCATTCGTGTCAATTTGGCACGTTCGTGGGTAATTGTGAGAAGGATCGATTGGATTTGAAATTATCAGAACGCACATTTTCCTTGTGGGGCTTTATGGCAAATCATTTGAATGAATATATTAATCCGCTGTATAAACCGGATGTGGATAAGACGATAAAGCCCAATTTGCAGCCGCAATGTATTAAGTGAGTTTGGAGATGTAGTTGTGGGACGCATGATTAAGGTCTACATTTTTTTTACTTGATATTCCTGTAGGTTTTGGCGTGGCATGTTTAGTCGTTTCGAAAGCGGCGTACATCCACGTGAACCGCTTAGCGACTTGTTGCTTGTGAGCAAGGATCATTGTACTTCGTTGGAGGATCACGTGCAGCATTTAACGAAGGTGAGTGTTGTCTGTTTGTTGAAACTATTTTGAATTTGCTACAATTTCTTAATTTCTTTTTAGCGCATTGCCAGCTTCAAAAACTACATTTCAAAATCCGCTAAGAAGCTGCAAGATGCCACCGCTAAAACTTATAAAGAGCCTGCGTCGGAGATCAATGACAATAAGTAATTTGAGAAAAAGATTTCATTTGCAAAAAAATACCGTTAATTTTTATTTTCTAATTTCTGTAGATACAATTACGACAGAAAGATGAGCGAACTTTCCTCAGCAGATGATGATCATCCGCTTAAGCCCACAGAAATGTCCTTTGCTAACCTTTCGGTAGTTAATTTTATTAATATTTGTATTCGTTTGATTATAAAATCGTTCTTTTTTTCACAGTTAAATGAACGCATTGATTCTGCGAGCATTAAAGAAGAAATCAATTCGGTTGCTGTTGATTGGAAATCGATGCGCAATGTGACAGCCTGCTCATGTTCCACACCATTCGATCAGTTTAGCAAGAAGGTAGATAAAAAATAAAAGAGCTAAGAATGACGTTGGTTATTCTTGAAGTACAATATATATCATTTTCGGAAGGCAAAAGCGAATGGAAGCCTAGAAACTGTATGCTTTTTTTAAGTCGTAACTCGATAACTCATAGAGTATTCACCGAGCTCACATCACTATGTCACTTGATTCCTATTTAGCGAAATTTTTTGATTAGTCATGTTATACATATAACCTCAAGAACCCGAGAAAAGCGAGCGACTATATTTTGCCAGCCGAAAGTATCCGCCGTCTGATAGCTTTTCACTTATTCTGTATCACAAATGTGTAAATGCGCCTAATATAAATGCTTTTAAGTACTCCGTGTCTGCAAATGTATACGAGCCGTAAATTTTCATTCTCAGCTCTTTGATGATTTTAACTTCTCTTCTATAACATTTTAACAGTGGCTCTCGATCGAAATCCTAAACCTTACAATGTAGATACCAGGCGTATAATCCTTGCCTTGTGCGAAAGTTTTGATCTTTGTACTAAAGGGAGTTTCTTTTACCTTCCGCGATTCGCCTTGAGCCAGAAGCACTGGTTTGTGGAGGTTCCAGCGCCCACTGAGTTGATCCATCTGCACAGAAGCTGACGCTTATGCTAATAGAGGTGTACCTATTTGCGTTTCGTCCGTCACTAACGATGATACCCATACAAACATGTCAGCGTGCTCACCAGCGTTGCCGTTCTCAACAGTTTCGCTTTCACTCTGTATACGGATTTTCGTTATGAAGAAAGTCGAAGCCACAGACAGTAATAAGAATTTCTTTAAACATTTTCGGAAGCTTAATGAATAGTACTCGACAGAACCTTCACACGCCGATCTTTCCGTCTTGCTTCGACCCAAGCGCAAGGAAGTTAAGTGCTAGTTTCCTCAAGTGTCTTTAACCCATTCAGCTCTCACGTGAAGAAATTGTGAGTCTCTTTGCGTCTGTTCAGAAATACTAGAATCCATGCAGCTGGAGATGAAGTGTCCTACACTCGAGCCGAACAATCAGGTCAGGTGGTCTGAATGACTGGGTCTAACAATGACTTTTGCAGCGATATTTCTACCTTTAGTATCCAGGGGTATGATTAACACTTGCAGAGTTCGATTTTCGTTCGGCGAGAGAGGATTTTACTTTTCAATTGCCTACTTAGTCCAAAGTAGCACCTGTTGGCAAGACTGATTCTGCGCTGGATTTCAAGTTGACATTGTTGTTGGTGTTTATACTGGTTCCCAGATAGGGGAAGTTATCCACAGTTCCAGCTGCTTGGCTAAAATAACCTTTTGTAGCAACGTCCGCAATATGAAAAAATATTGAATAAAATAACTTAAACTTGCCCACAGATTCAGTCTGCCAGTATTTGAGAAAAGCCTTATTACTTATTGATGGTGGCCCAGCAGTGTTGTTGTTGTAGCCGCAAAAATATTCCCCAAAGTACTTTTTGGGGAATGTTGCGTGAGTGACAGTCCTTGGCCGGATAAAAATCCGGGTTGTTCCGGTATAAAGACCCGACTGTCGCGGGAACTATTGGACTTTAGTCGCCTCTTACGACAGGCATGCCTTACCGCGGGTAAATTCTTGAGCCCCTAACCCGCAGCAGTCATATAAAGCTACCGCTGATTATTTCTTCTTCTACTTCTGATGTTTGCCTTCGATTGGTCTTCTTAACTTTAAGTCTCCCTCTGCAAAGGTATATAAGAAATCAATGACATGACTTCTGAGATCCAAACAATACTGACGTTTTTTCACATAATGTTCATAATCAGTACTTACATATATACATATGTATATACATCTGCACATAAATAATTTTTTCCAACTAATCTTTTGTTCTTCCTTCATCCGCAGACACATTGCTGGAAATGCGGCGACATCTTTTGCGAACGTTGCATAGACAAGAGTATACCCTTACCCGGACAAGATAGCGGTAAACCGGTGCCGGTGTGTCGTACCTGTTTTCGGTTAGTGCAAAAGACCAGCCCATGAATGCACAGTACCGCGTGTGCAAGTTGCAAGAGCGAGTAGTGGAAAGAAAACTAAAATAATTATATTCCTCGGGTGTGTTGCGTGCAATGTTGAATGCTTCTCTTTTTTTTATGAGACTGTTGCTGTGTTTAGCTTAGAGTAAAGAATGCATGTGTATGGAGGTGGTAAAAGCTAAAGTTAGCCATTTCACTTATGTGTGTATGTGTTTAAGACATGAAAGTACAAGACATGATTTAGCAATATGAGAAGGTATGTAAATTAATCATAAAAAGATGTACAATTTTATCACAAATAAATAATATGCAAAAACAAATGAAAGAGGATGAAAAAGTGTTAAAAGCATTAAGCTTGTATTAAAGTAAAGAAAAAAATCAAAAAAAAAATTATTTGTTGCATTTCTAGTTTACCGTTAAGCAAGTAAATAAATCAAAATTACTGAAAAAAAATGCAAAAGAAGAAACAAAAATTCTGTGTTTAACGTTCAATTGAAAATATAAAAATAAAATGTATGTATATGTATTGTATTATAGCAAGTAGAGCAACATAAACGCAAGTAGTACCACAATACATACCATTTCCAAATAAAAATCTTCAACTATAATAATTAGAACTAAGTACCCAAGTGCTCTCCAACTCCAATATTAAAATTTACAAAGTTTATTTGTATTAATTAGAAAAGGTATGCATTTTATTCTTCTTGATAACGATTTTTGAATTGAAAATGTTTCGAAATCCATTCTTTATTTCTCTCTTATCTAGAGTTGGACTCAAAACAACCAATTTCAAGACACCCACCTTCATTTTGAAGTTTTAATTTTGGTGTCCTTATAATATCAAGCGTAAAAATCAGAAAAAAACCAAATATTGTAGACAAAAATTAGACAAATTTGTATTACACATATTTGAAATTACACTGGCATCCCTACCAAAAAGTGAAAATTTGAATTGAAAAAAGTTAAAAGTAACCTAACCGAGACAAATTACCAATCGCATTAAATAGCACAGGTCCATCAATGTAGATATTAAGGTTTGAGCAAAAGAATAAATAAAGTAGCTTCTTAATGTGAATTAATTTCGAAACAAAATTGCAGCACAACAGAGAAAATAATTTTCAATCTCATTTTACAAATCAGTCAATGAATTAGTTGCTAAATTTACAATCGAAACAACACAAAACCCACAATGCTTGTAAAATAAATCGCTGTATGAAAATATAAAGCAGCCCACATGTTTTCGAAAGATTTATTATTTTACATTTTAGCACCAAAACAAAGAAAAATTAGTAATTTAATGTATTTTATGCTCATTACAGCAATACAATCATCAGATGTGCACAATTATATCCATGTAAATGATAAGGGTATATTTTTCTGTACAAGTATTTATACGCCATTCGAATATAAAAATTACTTAAGTACCAAACATTTATTATAATTTTTAGAAGCTTTATTTTTTTCTTTTTTTTTTTAATTTTTTTTGTACATTTATTTTGTTTTATTTTTTGTTTTATTACTGATTTTGTCAGTTTCGTATTACTACAAGGCGAAAAGGATGAAAACGCCTGTATAGAATGCAAACAGTCGTTATTCAATGTCTATTATATCTGATATAAAGATTTTAAAATAAACAAGTATTCAGTAGGAAATGATATTGGAAAATTAAATTTAAAAATATATACATACCTACATCCATATATACATATATAATAAATGCTTAAACGCCCAAAAAAGAGAAATATATATCTTGAAACAAATCTTGTTTTCATTAAGCTGAGTAAGTATTTTATTCCGATTTAAAGTTACACTCTTTTTCTTTTACATGTGCGTATGTAATTAAAGCATAAAGTGTTAAAAAATTATGAAAAATGAACACCTGGAAAAAGTTTAATTATTTTTTATATTCACCAAATAACGAGCCGCTAATATTTGAATTAATAACCAATTTCCGTTGGTTTTATACGCAATATCACTGGCACACTGGTGCATGGCAATATTGAAACTTCAGTAACAACAGCCGTAACTAGTTCGGGTGGCGTAATATCGTATATCAAATTTAACGGTGACATTTTACCCTTCGTCTGCCAATTGGCCAAACTGCACTTATCACTTCTTATCAAATCATCAGGATTGCCCAGTTCATTGTAGACAATGGCATCGGTTTGCGAGCGTTCGCTGAATTTGTGTGTTTCACAACAAACCAAGACAGGCACATTGAATGAGCGTGCCACCAGCGCAACTTGCGCTGTGCCGGTACGCGCCATAACATAACCATTAGCCAATAGCGCATGTGCGCCTAGCAGTATTTTCGTAGCTTCGGGCATGACAAAACTGATGGCATTGATAAGCACATAACTGCACGGTATACCCTTCACGGTGAGCCGACGCAAAAGTTCCCGTCCCTCACAAAAGGGACGCGAATCCACTACTATGACACGGAAATCAACGTTGCGACGTTGTGCTTCTTCGAAAATATAGGTAATCAAGGATGAGCTACAAAGTGGAAGAAAACACGTTCTAAACTATTTTGTAAATGTTAAAAAAAAATAAAACTAATATATTTTACCAGCCAAATGTGAGTATGACATCGCCATTGGAGATTTTCTCCTGCACAGAATAGCTAATAGCCTCGGCTGCTTTGCCAATCTGATTCTCAATGTATGTGTCGATGAAGCGACATAAATTCTCCTTTAGCTGTTAACACATAGTTTTTTTTTTTTAGCAAAAGAACATAAAAATATGAAATGTATGTATGTTACACTTACATCAGATTCCGGCTGATCAGTTGGCAATTGCGTAAGCACATGTTTAATATGTTTGTACGCGTTGCTTACGGAAACGGCAAGCGGTCGACATTTCTGCAAATGTTCTACGCTATCTGTAATTGTGGTCTCTAAGCTGCGTGCAAATTCCTTTTTTAGTGGCGTCTCAAAATCTCGTATAACCTGTAAAACAAAATATACGATATACATATATACTCGTTCTATTATTGAGTACATACTCATTGAGCTTACCATTTTCAGTGCATTGAGAAAGGCAATACAACGTGCATTGGAGCCTACAACAGTACGCTGAGCGTATTGTTCGCCTAGTCTCGCAACGCTCGGATGCAGATGTGGATTATTCAAAAATAAGCTAACCTCCTGATGCGTCTTTTCCAAATGATTAAACAGACGCACTTTACAATCGTTTATGCGCAGCGACTTAGCAGTTGGACTAACGCTCTTTGTTGTCGAAAGACTACCAGTTTTGCTTGCGGTCTTTGCTGGTGTGTCTGGTGTAGGCTTTGAGGATTTTTGATTATTGGCCGAAACAGGTTTTGCTTTTGGCGTTGCGGTTTTTTGTGCAAGAGCCTGAGCTTTAGCCGCACGCTGAGCTTCTTGTATGGCACGTCTCTCAGATTTTGATAAAGCTGGTTTTTTCTGAAAAATAAAATAAATATGTTAAGAAATAGAGGGTAAAATTATAGTAAAAATAATAGAACCTTTTCATCCTGTGCTGGTGTTGTAAGCCCGTTCTCAACAAATTGAATGGCTTCTAATTTTGCAGTTACCTCTGGTAAACCTGTTGCTTTAGCCTCTTTCTGTGCTTGCTTTGCTTTCTTTTTGGCTTCACGTTCTGCTTTGATTTGTTCGCGACTTTTATCAACGGCAAGAGCGTTTCCGTCGGCGAGTGTTGTATTGGAAGGAGTGTTAGCAGAGGTTTCTGGTATTGCTATACTATCAACTTGCGCAACGGATGTATTTATATTTGAGGCTGCTGGGGTTGCAGCCGTTAATTCAGTACCCAATACCTTAGCTTTTTTCAATTGTTTGGCTAATTTTTTAGCTTCACGTTCGGCCATAATCTCTTCACGAGATTTGGCGGCAGGCGGATTTACCGTTTTAGTTGGCGTAGTTGACATTTTCCTGTCTTCTCTAGTAACCAGAGTGCCAGTCAGTAAATTATTTTTATGCTGAAAGTTGTCGCTTTGGTTATTAATTTGAGTTTTTAAAACTTGCGATTTGTCTTGTGTGATGCTATTGGCGCTTGGGGATTGTGTTCGGAATACTTCTGTTAGTATATTCGAGTTTGGACTTGATTGAATCAATGAATCTGCTAAATTGTCTACTTTGTGAGAGTTTAAAGCACCTTGTTTGCTTTTGGAAAACACTTTTGTTTTAATGCCTTGTGGAACGGGTGTTCCACTTTCCATAGAAGGTATTAATTCCGAATTTAATTTCAAAATCTTCATAAAAGATTGATTGTCTCTATTAATTATTGTTTGATCTTCCCTGAATGTGTTATTGCTCAGCTGTACAACCGATGTATTTATATGTGTGTTATTAGTCTTTTCGACTTCCTGGACCGGCAACACGGATTCCTCCGAGTTAGCCTTGTAGTTCTTATTTCGTTTGCGTTGACGTTGACGTGGACGTTTCTTTTTTTGTGACGCAGTACCTACGTCTTTCTTTAACGTAGGCGTGTTAAGAATGTCCTGAAGGATAAATTGCAATTTATTTTAGATATAAAATCATAAAAATGAGCGATAAAATTTAGTGTGGCAAATTGCAAATTAAACCAAAACATATTAGCTTTAATATTAGGTGTAGCAAAATGCAATCCATTATTTTTACATAAAAGTAAATGGTTAAAAATGTCCTTTCCGTATCTAGCATCCATCATCACGCAACGCTCAAACAAAACTGAATCAATCGATCACAAAACTGTCTGAAAAGCCTTTTTAGTACGAAGTGGCATTTTTCATAGGCCATCCAACGGATCCCGATCCGACTTAAACAACGCGAGATACAAAAAATAACGCCATCTATTCTAAAAATAATGGATTACTACACCAATACAATTCTATATGTGTAAAGCTGAAGATGAAGCAATAAATGCGTGATTGTTTTATGTACCTTATTTTCCTGAACACTGGACATATTTAAAATCGTAAAAACGACTGTGCAAAGCAAAAATATAAAGAAAATAGTAAAAACATTAATTTCATGTATTTCTTGATGTAATTCATTACATTAATTTTGCAATTCGTAGTGAACCATAGTTGATTATGAATACGTATACGCTACGTGAGGCCGTACTTGTATTACCGCAATTTTACAAATGTATAACTCAAGAGACAAATTTTCGACTCACCGTTCAAATATTTGATAAAGTATATACTTTTAATGTCTAATAACACTGAATTTTCTTTATTTACTTGCAATTGAGCAAAAATTAATAATTTGCTAACGACAGCAGCTGGAAGCTGAACCACAGCTGAGATGGCTTATGTATGTCAAATACTCCACAGGGTGACTGAAACTTGATAAAAATGTTGGAAGAAAATTTTATTTCATAAATATGAAATATATTTATTATTTTAAATATTATTAACATTTAGAAGTTTTAAACGTATCTCGTAGAAATAAAATCATCTGTTCCTCTTGTTTTCTATTGGAAAACATTGTTTAACTCAAATCGGGTGATCAAAGTTGCCACCAAAAATGTGGTAGCACGAAGTAAGCGTAGCTCTCAAACCGATTTCAGCTGTCACTATTAGAAAAGTCAAATTGATTCAATAGAAAAATTTCATTGGTGTTTGCATTTTACGATTAGAACTACGAAAATGTCTGCAATTCTCTCACAAGTTTTCCGCCGACAAATTGCTATTAGCTTCCAAAGATCTCAAGCTGGAGCTACTGCAGCAAGCGCTGGTGAACACTCAGGTGAGATTTATCTCCATTCACATATCCGGAGCAATATGGCTCGGGAGGTTATCAGTAGGAGGTTATGTAATTTTGCGTTCATAACTCACTGATGTTTAATCCTTTTAGGTGGTTACAAAGTATGGAAGCGTCTGTCATTCTTTGTTGCTATCCCAGCTGTAGGTCTTTGCATGTTGAATGCTTATCTTAAACATCAAGAGGAGCACGATCAGCCACGTCCAGAGTTCGTCAAATACGATTATTTGTATCGTCGTGAGAAGCGTTTCCCATGGGGTGCAGGTAACAAAAGTTTGTTCCATAACCCCCACGTCAACGCACTGCCAGACGGTTATGAACATTAATTTATAATGCAGAATAGTTGTAACATAAATGGAAGAACCACATAGCAAGTTGTGTCTGAGTCAGTACAATTTGCCCCTGGTATTTTGACTACTCTTACGAACGGTTATTTTATGAAAACATGTGTAATCTAATAACATTGAAGTTGTTCGATAAATAAAATTAATTCCATCATAAACTAATAAAAGTTTGTTTGTTTTGGTCTCTGATATGATTTTTGGTCACATTAAATACTATTTCTACCTGCTTCAGTTAATCTATCAAACATAGCCAAGAGAGAAATTGTAAAATCATTTTAGAACAAAGTAAATACATTAGTTATATCGATATATTTATTTATACGCACACATATATCTTTCGGATATACAAAAATTCTTACACGTTCTACCTTCCATTACATATATTCTTATAATAAAATAAAAGTAACATTAGTTATATTGCTCTTGTCTATTTTGCAGGCTTTGATGTAAGTATCAAATTTCCGTCTTTAATCTTTATACGCCCGTCTTTAGCCATTGCCGCAGCTTCGGCTTTAGTAACGACAATCTTCTGCATCTTTACTATTTTTTTACCTTGACCCTCCTTAGCAAGAACACTACTAGTTGTGTTCGAATTTATAACTTTTGAGACAGACTGACTGCTTCCTGATGGTGATTGTTTCACTTTTGGTGAAGTTTTTGTGTTTTTGTCAGAATTAGTTGGACTGCTTTTATTATTATCATTGCTCTTTCCCATTTTCAAAAGCTTTGACGCATTAGTAGGTCTACCTCTCGTCACTATCGCCTTTTTAGTTGATGCAGCTACAGCTTTAGGAGATTTTTGTATAGGACTTTCACTTATATTTTCTGTGGTTTCCTTCGGTGTCTTACGACGTACATCAGTTTGCTCATCTTTGACGGTTTTAAGTACTTTAGTTCCGATATCGAGTTTACTTTTCTTTAGCACGGGTTGCTGATCTTTGTTTACATCGGAAAATTCTTTCACAACCATTCCATCATCAGCACTTGTTAGAGTTTCTATCTTCAGATATTCTTCGTATTTTCCCTCACTTTCAAAACGTTTGTCTTTGGTGTAATCGAATTCTTCCTGATTGGTAATATCTATGAATTATAATTTAAAAATATGCATTAAACGCATTATTTTAGTTTAAACTAAAAATTAGAGAAACAAAAATATTTTACCTTCTACTTCTCGTATGAGTTGCGACTGATTATCGTGATTGGCATTATCTATGAATTAAAATTTAAAAATATTAAATAAACTTATAATTTTACTTAAAAATTTAAGTAAAAAATAAAAATTTACCTTCTACTTCTTGGGTGACTTGTGACTGATTATCACCATCATTTTCCTCTTCGTAAAGAAACTCTTCAATAGTTTCTTCCATTTCCTCATCACTATTTCTTTTTGGTGTAACCGTCGCATTCTTCTCGTCCTCATTATAGGCCACTAAATCGGATGCGTGTGCGCTTTTAACATGATAACTTTGTTCGTTATATGTAAGGAATATCAGATCGCAGAATTCACACGGGAACGATACATCGTTAGCGTGCTCCTTGATATGTGCTGTTACCGTTTCCACATCTTCAAAGGATTGTTGGCATAGAGGGCAGATCAATGTCTCTCTAGCGTGTTCTGCTGAATGTAACACCAATTCGTTACATGTATTGTAAACTTGCTCACATTCATTGCAGGAGTACATAACGACACTTTCTTTGTGGGTGCGCAAGTGCCGTGTCAAATGGTGCGACAGCAAATATGACTTTGGGCAAAATTTGCACGGAAACGGACGTTTGCCGGCATGGGCAACTAAATGACGTGCCAATTTCGATGGTGTACAAAAACTTTTGTCACAATATTGACAGGGATATGGCTGTTCGGTAGAATGAACCACCTGAAACATTAATAAATATAACATATATTTATATGTGTGGCTAAGTAAATAAATGCTCACCTCATGTCGCTCCAGACCTTGTTTGAAGGCGAATGCTTTATCGCATGATTTGCACTTGAATGGTCGGTTCTTGCGATGTCGTTCGGCGTGCTTCTCCATATCATCTTTCGATAAAAAAGTCTTTTCGCAAAAAACGCAAAGAAATTTAGGTATGTCTGTGTGTATTTTCTCATGTCTATACAATAATCCCGGCCGAGTAAAGCCTCTCGCACAAACTGTACACTTGTACTTGCGTTCTCCTGTATGTATTACCTCGTGTTTTTGAAGATCGTATTTAGAAAAGAATGAGCGATCACACTCTTTACAAGGAAATTGCCGATCGCGTGTATGGTTCACCAAATGCATATCGCGCAATTGCAATAACGGAAATGTTCGGTCACAGTAGGGACATGGAAAAACATTTGTCTTAACAGGCTCCGCGTCCTTTATAGGATCCGGCTCGTTTTCATAGGGCTCATTCGGGTCCAATATTTCTGTTACAATGGAAACGTTGCCATCTTCATCTTGTTTTACAAATGGTTGTTTAAGTCGTGGCTCCAAATTTACCTCGGCTTCTTTGTTTAATATACGTTTGGAAGATTTATTTAGCAGTTTAGGTTTATTTTTATTGGAGGAAGTTGGGTTAATTTCTGTCACTTCGAACTCTTGTGAAACTTGTTCAGCATCTTCAGAGTCAATTAAACGCTGGAGGTCGTCAAATGAAATCTCCTTATTATTTTCAATTTTTGTAAGAAAGCTTATAGCTTCTTCATTTTTAGTTTTTCTCGTTCGGGTTGGTATTGGTGGTTCCGGTAATGGTGCCGGATTAGAATTGAGTATTTTTCTCGGTGTTTGGACTGAAGAAGTTGTTTGTTTAGTAGACCCTATAGTTTTCGTTACAACCGCCACTCCAGTATTTTGCTGAGATGGTGATTTCGACGGTTTTTGCTCTTTGATGTTGGTTGTAGGTGAAGCGTTTTTTTGAAATTCATTTTTACTTGGTTTTTGTGTAACTATTTCCTTCGGTAAAAGTTCTGAGGGTATTACAGGCTTCACTAATGGAGAAGGCCATTCACCAAGTAGTGGCACTTGATTCAACAAACTTTCAGCCTTCTTACACATCTGCTTAAACCGATAGCAATAATCAAAGGTCAAACGACATTTCAAACACACTGAAGCGGGCATTCCATCGTTTAAAAACACCTAAGGAGTAGATATGTACATACTTATAGTATATTACGATTTTATAAATTAAACTAAGGTTGAATTGCTATTTAATTATTTCCAAATTTACTTATACGTTGTATAACTAATAAGTGATATCAAAACAAATTTAAAAGAGGAAGCGGATATAGAAAGTATCAGTTTATTCATACTCTAGTAACACGGCTAAATTTTTTTAACCTTTGAGTCATACTGTATGTTGCTAAGATTCTATTCTTCTACACTTGGAATGGAAGTGTTGGTAAATTGCATTAGTCTTGTGAATTTCTAATGGCGGATGCAGTTGTACTTCAAATACGCAAGGACTGCATTTAAAAATAAGTTCTTTATATTTGCAAACTAAAGAAACATTTTACAAATATTGAAATCTCTTACTGCTATTACTAATATTTTATGGTTCGATACTAAATCTGAACGTACTATCAACATTGTTTCGAAAATTCCGATAACTACCAAATGCATTATTCTGTTTCATTTCCAAAAATTGCGCGGCGTCTCGCACGTTTATCAGTTTTTAGTCTTTTCCCAAGCAAACAAGTGCAGTGTTGTTGTTAAATTCGGTTGGTTATTTAGTGCAGTTGATTATTCTGCCACTGCTTTTGTTTGTGGCTTTGATTTTTATAGAATAGTAGGAGCGCGTAGTTTAGTTAAAAACGCACTGACCTCAAGTTGAATTAAACACGGCGCTGTTCTAAAAGCGGTCTAACCATTTTAGGTAGGAAATTGTGTTGTGTAGATTAATTTTCGGTGCAAGATTTCTATTAAACTAAAAATCCAACATTGAGCAACAGCTGCCCAGCACAAGAAAAAAACATTCTGAAGATAATAGTAAATATTATAGATAGTTTTATTGAATGCCCAACTTAGCGTTTAGGGTCACTCAACTATAACTTGCCCAGCAAGGGAAAAAAACTACGCAAATTTTTCTGTATTAATAAAAAAATAAAAACAAATTGGGGAAAACTCAAGGAAACGCAATACAACGAAGCACTGCGCAAAAAGAAGACTGATTAAAAGGAAAAACCTACTGGTGTAGCAGTAAAATATAAAACAGCGTGATGACGGACGAGTGTATTGCAATAAAATACGAATACATAAGAAAGGACCAAACAAGCATGTTAATGCCCACACTTGATAAGTTAGATGCACAACCAACGGGCCGAGAGAAATCTACTGGCAGTGCAGGCAATTCGTTTGGAGTTAATGCGACAGCTTCAAGTAAAGGCAGCAGTGGTGGTGGTGAGGATATCAGTGCAGGGTAAGTATTGATAATGGTTAATTATTCATAAGATTTTATCACATTAGCGTGCATAACGATATGAAACCAATCGATTGCGCTTTTATTATGTGCCGTTAGTGTATGCCTGTAGGAACAAAAGCAACGAATTCTAAAAGATTAGAATAGGAATTTTAATATCATAAAAATACAAACATAGAAAATATTTTTTGTTAATGAAATTATTATGATAGATACATTTATTAAAATATTTAATGTGACCATAATTAATAAGAATTAACAAATATAAAACTTTGTAGACTACATACTTTACAGATCTTAAGATAGAGTATAAAGAGATTTTATTTTATAACAAGTAAAAATCAAAAGGTAGATTCCCACTATATGTAAAATCACATTTTTCTACCAGCTACCTAAATGATAAATTGAAACAAAATCACAATTTATTTAGAGTTTAAGATAATCTTTTTCGTTTCCAGAACAATGTGATAAGCTCTACAAAAATTTGCGGTCTAATATATGCTTATATATTTTTTTACAGGCACAAATATACTGCGTATATGCCCACCGAACGTCATGCTAGCCAATACAATATGAATCACAAAAATCGTGGACTTGCTCTAATTTTTAATCATGAAAATTTCGATATACCCTCTTTAAAATCTCGACAAGGTACCAATGTAGACTGTGAAAATTTGGGTGCTGCGCTCAAAAAATTACACTTTCAAGTGAACACTTATAAAGACTGTAAATTGAGAGAAATACTCAAGCATGTGGATCACGGTACTACAAACCTTAATAATTTTTATAAACTTTTCACACATAAATCCTCTGTCTTTCTTTTTGCAGCCGCCTCTCAAGATCATACAGATAATGACTGTATAGTTGTTGCTATATTGTCACACGGCGAACATGGTTATCTTTACGCTAAGGACGTTCAATACAAATTAGATACAATTTGGCATTATTTTTCGGCTCATACTTGCCCTACGCTTGCCGGTAAACCGAAATTATTCTTCATTCAAGCTTGTCAGGGTGATCATTTCGATCCTGGCGTACTAATGCGTAGAACAGAAACCGATGGTGAAACATCAATGAGCTACAAAATTCCCGTACATGCCGATTTTCTCATTGCCTACTCAACTATACCGGGCTTCTATTCATGGCGTAACACCACAAATGGTTCTTGGTTTATGCAGTCACTTGTAGAAGAACTAAATGCCAACGGCAAAAAACATGACATATTGACATTACTAACATTCGTGAATCAACGTGTTGCTATTGATTTTGAATCGTGTGTACCAGATTGTCCGATAATGCATCAGCAGAAACAAATTCCATGTGTTACATCGATGCTGACTCGTATATTGCGCTTCACTGACAAACCATCGAACGGTGTATAAGTCTCCGCAACAAAACCATTTGTATGCGGGGATACAAAAGAATTTAAAGAGTATTTTTACGTCTAAGTTTACGTATGCTACAAAACGTCTGATTTGAAAGGAGAGTTAAATACATAATCATTAAGCTAATCATTAACTTGTGCAACTGCTGCAGTGCACACTTTTTTCAGTGTGTATTTAGAGCAGAGACTGAACTGCTTCCCATATTCATTGCTTTAATTTTGCCATTTAATTAAAATTTATTGTATTTTTGAATAACGTACATATATATATATATACATGAAGGTAACTATTTTTAATATAAATATTGAATTGACTGGAATTAAATTGTGTTATTTATTATTTCATGATGTTAGTTGGTAAGGTGTTTAATGTTAGGGGTGTGCGCCTTTGGTATGTACATATATGTATGAGCCAGTATGAATACAATATGGATCAGGACATTAGACATAGATTTTCGATATTGACTAGGCTGACAAATAGTATCAAGTATTTAAATTCATATATAATTAAGGAATGATAAGCAAAACAAAAGAAACTATGCTTTTCCTTTAAACTCTTTATTTTTTGTCAACTAAGTTACTGCTTTTAAAAAATTCATATATATATTTTTTCCAGCTGTAAGTATTTTAACTTTATTAAATAATTAAATAATATATTCATTACTTCTTTTTGAAACTGTTGACAGCTATAATATACTATATGCATGATAAGTGGCCTCTTCCAAGTTGAGTTGTTTAAATAAGAAATGGGACTTTCAGTACTCGTGGACACTACGGATAATATTTACAATTCATAGTGGCTAATCAAATTTTCTTTTTTTGGCGCGAGAATTTAAAATAAGCATTTTTTGTATCAAAGGGCACTAGCACAGATTCAAACGCATCAATTTAGAAACAAACCAAAGGGGATTGCGAGTTCAATTTTCGAAAGATACTAATATGCAAACAACGAACAAAAAAATTGTTTCAACCAACACTAAATGCAGTTTAAAATAATAACCTTACCTCAATAGAAGCAACTGCCATTATTTCCACAGGCAGTGGTAGCAATGATTTAATTGGAGCATCCTTTGCATATATGTTTGTCAGATCGCCTACACCTTGAGTCAGGCAGAAACGACAAATAGATTTAGTTTTCAACTCAGCCGTCAAAGCTTCACGTACCTCCTCCCTAGTAGCCATTATTTTATGCAACACAAACACAAAACTAACAACAAAATTTTATTAAAATAAATTTTTGCCAAATGTTTATCACTCGAGTAAATTTCTTTTCATTCACAAAAATGGTGGATGTTGGCTTGGATGGAATAGCAGAATAGCATTTGTCACAATTTGGCATTTCGAAAGAATTTCGAATGTGTTCGAATCGATATATTCGAAATTACACCGAAATAGAACAAAATTTTCAATTTCGATTAGAGATCGATTTGATTGTGGGTCCACAAAATTAGGGTTAATGAAATAAATCAATCTTATTTTTACTATGAAAATGTATTTTCAATTAGTAATAGTTAATTTAAAATCCAGCAATGTGTGCTACACATTTTGTGTGTATGTAAAAGCTGCAGCACTGTGCTCTCGCTAAGTCAGGTAGCTCACATATAGATGGCACGAAGAAATTATTGTAAAAGGTAAATTGGCATGCACAAACAGGGAACGTAAATACATATTTACGTTCTCTGGTCACAGTTTGAATGAATTTTGGAGTTTTTATTATTGGTTTAGACGCTTACCAGCACTAAAAATTGCTTAGGAACAATATTGAAAGCAGTCTGCATTTATTTGTTTATTTTTTATACACGACATAAAAGTATTAAAATAAATTAAATTTATAATGTACAACGGTGAATGCGGCATTCTCATAAAGGATATCAAACCTGGATTGAAAAATATTAACGTTATATTTATCGTGTTGGAAATAGGAACCGCCACAGTAACTAAAGAAAATAGAGAGGTGCGAAATTTTAAAGTTGGAGATCACTCTGCTTGTATAAATGTTTCCATCTGGGATGAGCCGGGTAAACTCATAGCACCCGGTGATATTATAAAGTTAACGAAAGGATATGCCTCAATTTGGCGGCACTGTTTGACATTGTATTCGGGCAAGAATGGAGAAGTTTATAAAATTGGGGAGTTCTGCATGACTTTTAATGAACAACTAAACATGAGTGAGCCCAAACGACCAGATCAGCAGACACAACAACAGCCGCAAGTTATAAGCGGAATTGTTGGAAATCCTCAAATAATGCCGAATACTGGAGTTGCCAGTGGTCCTGTAGTTGGTACGAACAATAACAGCGCAGTTGCACCGGCACAAGTGACACCAGCTGGCAGCAATGGAAATTTGGGCACAGCAGGACAAGTAGGACAACGAATTATCGGTACAAATTTGAGCAGCGGTATTCAGCAATCCGGTAATACAGTCACTTCAAAAACGGGAAACATTCAACAGGCATCACAGAAACAATTAAGCGGCGGTCTAGGTGCGCAAGTGGCTGGTAACACAAATGTTAATACCGCAACGCAACAAACGACACAAGCAGCGAATGCCTCAGGAACCGTTGCGCCATCTCAAGGAACAAAGCCAAATAGGGGAGGACGCGCAGGTGGTACGCGATCTAGTAATCTTAAGAATGAGCGTAGATGAATATTATTGTTTTAAAATGTGTTTATATTGAAAAGAAAATAAATATTTGAACATAAGTGCATAATTTGAAAATTACGTCTATTGATCAATATGCAAATCGATTAATATCAGGTTTGTTACAGCTTTCTATAATATATCTAGGTAACGTTGTTTCGTGTAATCCACATATTTTTTTTGGTCGTATTAAGTAAATCAATAAATGTAACCTGAACCAGGTATGATGAATTTTCGGATCTCTAGGATTAGCACCAATAGCGAAGCTGTCATTCAAATGTACGACATCGACGCCTTCCTTTATTGCTTTTCTCAAAACATTATTAGATATAATGCTATTGAGCGTATTTGCAAGCACGTCTATGCATATTCTGGTTATATATTCATCTAAAGTCATTAGTTAATTAGCGCATGAACATTTTATTTTAAAATAGAAAATCTACCTTTAAGCAAAAAAATTAATTTAGTTTCCTGCCTTCCTATTGACCAAGAAAACGGAGTGATAGAAATTCGGGATCCATTTGGTAATCTTATTTCGGTCGGTTTATTCTCTTCCAATTCTCCTATACGTTTTGGAGATGCCGACTTCAATAACTTAAAAAGTAAGCCCTCTATATAAGGATTTCTTATAAAAATGTTAAAATGTAATTACCGAGAGGTCTTTAGATTCCTTTATAACACGCCGTGTGGTATATATAATTCCACACCAATCTTCTGGTACATTTTTTAGTGACGTATTGGGACTAGCTAGTAGTAAAGGAGCTCTAAGGTCCTGTAAATAAATCGAAAAAATTATGAGAAAAATATAACATAACATGAAATATACCAATTGTTTTTCTGCAAATTCTTCGGGAGCAACCGGTTCACCGAAATCGTTCAGCAACATATTTTTCAGCAAGATGAGTTTGTCAGGAATTCGCCTTGTTTGACATCTATATAAATAAATGCTTTTATTGAATTCAAATCAAGGTTTATTCTATAAATTCGCCATTGAATTTAAATAAACAATTTTACTAATGACCTTAACTAACGTCCCAACTATGCAACTTTCTAATATAACTTTATTGTACTCAGCAAATGGTGTTATATATATTTATGTCATTATATAATAAAAGTTATTTAAGAAAATATAAATAGATATTAGTAGTAAGTAATGCTTTAACATTTATATTTTTATCCTTTGTTTATTGTTTTCTGGCTTTTATTAAACAAATTTTATAAATGCAACTGTGACCTAGTCATTATCCACTGTTAACTTCGCTCATTTGATGGAAGTGCATATGTAGTGACGTGTTTTGTTTACGATTTGCTTGTGATTCGTTTTGATAAAAGTTTTAATAATAAAAAATTAGCGAAAGAATGCGGCTTATAATATTAATAGCTTTGTTGGCACTGTTGCCTTACACTTTAACCAAAAAAGCGGAAAATGGTAAAAAACCGGATTGGGCGAAAAAAGACATTCGCGATTTTACAGATGCAGACATGGAACGCCTGTTGGACCAGTGGGAGGTTAATGAAGTCTAGTTACCGATGATCCCTGAATTATTTAAAATTTGTATTTTAGGAAGATGAAGAACCCTTGGAAGCTGATGAGTTACCTGAGCATTTACGCCCACAACCAAAAATTGATCTATCAAATCTAGACAGCAAGAATCCAGAAAATATTTTGAAGGCTTCTAAGAAAGGTCGCACGTTAATGACGTTCGTATCCGTCGATGGAGATCCAACACGTGAGGAAGCAGAGACTATTACAAAGTTGTGGCAGACTAGTCTCTGGAATAATCATATCCAAGCCGAACGCTATATGGTGGATGACGATCGTGCGATATTTCTATTTAAAGACGGTTCGCAAGCCTGGGACGCAAAGGATTTCTTGGTGCAACAAGAGCGTTGTAAAGGAGTCACTATTGAAAACAAGGAATATCCCGGTGCATGGAGCAGAAGCAATAGTAAATCAAATGATAAAGAGGAACTTTAAGAGTAAATTGTTCTAGTTTGAAATTTTGTGCATTTATGCGAAACAAGTTCTCAAATAGTATTTATAAGGTAAAAAGAAATCACTCATATTGATTGCATAATTTAATAATAGAAATATTAATATTTAATTGATATTATTAATTTTTGTTTTGCCAAAACTCTGGAATTAACCATTTTAAAGCTACTAGTATATAAAGGAAATGTACCTATAAAGAACAAAAGTATCTTGAACATACAAATATTTTTTTATTGTACGCATGATTGTACGTTTAAACAGTTCTGGGAGAATAAATTGATAAGAAACTTTAAAAACCGGCTAATTATTTTGCTATATTTGTTTATTCTCTGACAATGATTCTATTGTGAATCGTCCATAATTTGATTGCACGTTTTGTTGACAACTTCGACCCTTGAATTTGACCGATCCAGTTTGCATTTTCATTAAAGATTAAGACATTCCGTTCAAAGAGTTAAACCTCACAAAATTATAAGTTAAAATGCCAGTACAAGCAAAAATAGGTCCATCAATTTTAAATGCCGATTTAGCTGACTTGGCCAATGAATCGCAGAAATTGATAAATAATGGAGCCGATTATCTTCACCTTGATGTGATGGATGGTCACTTTGTGCCAAATCTTACTTTTGGCCACTCACTTGTTAAGTGCTTAAGAAATAAAATAAAGGTGAATTCATAATGAAATATCATGAATATATTCGTAACCGCATTTAAGATTAATAATATAACATTTGTTTGCAGAAAGAGTTTTTCGAAACTCATATGATGGTATCACGTCCTGACCAATGGATTGAGCCTATGGCTGATGCCGGTGTAGATCTCTATACATTCCACATTGAACCAGTAATGGCCGAAGTGTCTAGTGTATGTCGAAAAGTACGCGAATCGGGTATGAAAGTGGGTTTAGCGCTAAAACCAGGCACTGAAGTACGTTATTTCGCACTCATAATTTTATACATACATATATTGTATAAAAACGTTATGCTTCCTGTTAGGTCCAAGTAGTTGAAAAGTACGTAGATATGGCTGATGTAGTGCTTGTAATGACGGTGGAGCCTGGCTTTGGAGGACAATCATTCATGGGCGACATGATGCCTAAAGTACAATGGTTGCGAGAGCACTATCCAAATTTAGATATTGAAGTAGATGGTGGAGTTGGACCAAAAACTATTGAAGCTTGCGCAAAGGTAGATTAAACGTGTTCCCAATAAATAAATATATTTGTACATATTTACATATGAGTAATGATTTAACCTCATATAGGCTGGCGCAAATATGATTGTTTCTGGCACAGCTGTTATACAAGCATCTAATCAACGAGATGTAATCAACTCACTCAGAAGCACAGTTCAAAAGTACACTAATAACACATGTACACATGTGCATTAGTTATATGAGCTGACTGTATGATAATTTTGGAAAACGTTGCTATTATAAACAAAGGTTGAAATTGTTAAATTTTACAAAAACCATATATATTTTTTTATTAAATTTTAAAGGTAATGCGATTTAAATAAAGTTATATATATCTCATAAAAAAAATATCTATGTATTCAAGTAAAACTAAGCATTATTTTTTTGTGCCATTTATTTATTTTTCAGTAACATTTATGTATGTATGTATATATGCATTTTTTCCATTATTTCATATGTGGTAGTTGTACATACATATACTGTGTGTGTATATATAGTTACGTAATACTTTTACAAATATGTATGTCTTGTATCTTTTGTGTGTGTTTTTTGTTATCACTCTGAAATATATATTTTTTATTTGTTTTGTGTTAGATGCATCCCAGCACTTTCTTTAGTACCAAATTTTATTATTGTATATGTATGATGCTAACAATTGCTTACATAATGATGTTCGGTTGAAGCAGTTTATCATTTAATTTTCTACAAATTAAGCAATTCATTAATGTCTGCACTGCATTGAAATGCTTGTTTGTACGTATGTGTAGTGTATAGATTTTTTCTTTGATCAGTAGTAATTACATACATAAACGTGTGTATATAGCTAAGCACAACTATGTGAAATTGTTTCGTTCAAAGATTTGTTGCAACTGAAAATGATTTTTTTTAGATTCTCACATTTCATTTAGAAGAAGAATTTATATTTTCCACCTTATTGTCAATGCTTTTTATAATTAAAACGTAATGAAAAATAACAAAAGGAATAAAAAAATTTTAAGAAACAGTTTTTTTTTTTAAATACAGGTTTTACGTAGGCATATTTAGAACAAATCTATTTTGAAGTTGAAAAAAAAAAATTATATATATGTATGTGTACATACTAAACGACAAGCATTTTGCACGCAGTTCGCATTTATATTATGTTATGATGTGCACATAAAAAGCTTTTTATTTATTTTTTTCCTTCGCAAAAATTTGTATGCTAAATAAACCTATTCTGTTCAGACGCTCGTGCAGTTTTAACGAGTGCAATGTAATTTTAGTTATTAACGGTGATCATTTTATATGTTTTATATCTATGTATTTATAAATTATAGTGCACATTTTTGCGTAAAATATGGGCTGAGAGCTGAATTTTCTTTTACAAACATATTTATGTAAAATAATATACACATTTGCAAGAAAGAACTGAATTTGATATGAATATCCGTTGCTTTAATTAATATTAATAATTGACTACTTTTTTCCGGACAATCTAAGCATGCAGTAAAAAGATGTTTCTCGTGCAAAAAATTTTATTCTGCAATAATTTGTAAAAATGGTGAATTATATAGAGTAAAATTACGATAATAACATAAATATAAATAAAATAATCTGCGAATTTTATACAAACATGTATTCTAATCATATTCTTTTTTTATATATATGAAAAATTTATCTTGGTAATAAATCTGTCGGTATTTTGTTTAAAAAAAGTATTGTTTTCATATAAACAATAAGTTAAATTTTCTTAAAATAAGCTAACCCAGAAAAATACTTATTTTTTTTTTGAATTTAGTATACTTTAACTAGATATATTATTGTTGTTTTATAGTTGTATTAAATATTTATTTTCGTTGGTTGGCTTAAAATAATTATATGTTGAATTATTTTGAGCTGGAAGGAGAAGTACACATAAATGTATCTGCCTGCGTGACAAGACACTCATAGCATACCATTTAAAGTAATTTTTTATTTGAAAAATTATGTCTGACAAGAAAAAGAGTTGCTACTGAAAATAACGATAGTTTCTGCATAAGTGTGTGTGTGTGTGTGTGTAAAACGATATGGGCATAGATATGTATGGGTAGTAGTATGTTTTTTTTTAGAAAGCACAACATATTTTTTTATATCTTTATCATCATGTTTAATCGAAAACATGTGTACAACATATATGTATGTATATTTCTTTTTGCTTATGCGTATACATAAAATAAATAACTTTTTCTATGTTTTCATTTTCCTAAATATATATAAGTATTATTATCATATTTGCACTCATGCATGTGTATTTGTATGAAAATTTACTTTTTTTATTTTCTATGTATGCAAAGTATAAAAGTAAAGCAGTTTTTGACATCATCAGAATGATCACATTGAGTTTATATTTTTTTTTTTGGATTTTTTTATGCTTTTTGTTTTAATAATTTTAGCACTTACTACTTTTTATTTTTTTTTGTTTTAAAGATTTATCCTTTATCCAAATACAATACAATATACATGCATATATTTTCTTTATATTCATCTAAATGTGTGTAAAACTACAACTGCTACAAAACATGTCCATACATACATATGTATGTATGTATGTATGCATGAGTGTGTATACAAGTATTTGATTATATTGGATGATTGTACATATAATATGTAATAGTTATTGTCGATTTTTATAATTTTTTTTGTGTATATTTAAATTTTTTATTTATTTTTCTTACAAACTTATAAGCTTACATGCTGCACATTTATTTGAGCATATACATATAAGTACATAAATTTATATATGTAAGTATTGTTTTTTTTTTTTTACGGATTTTGTTTTTGTTTTAGTATTTGATCTCTTTTTTCTTGCGTCAAAAGCGCATTCAAAATATATTTACTACAATTTCTAACATACAAACATATACAATTTATAAATATTTATATATGCATATGTATATATTTCATTTTTTTTTCGTTTTAGAGCACTGGTATGTAGTTGTTGTAGTAGCAGTAGTATTTAGTATAGCAATTAGCATGCTCCATTCAGTTAGGTATTTATACATGTATGTATGTATTTACTTTTATTGGCAATATGTTCGTACTTCAATACACAAACATGCATTTATATATATATATATATATATATATATATATATTCAGCATATAATTTAATCACTAAACAAATAATTTTATGTAGTTTTTATTGTAATTGTACACGCATTTGTTATGTATGTGTACATACATAAAAGTATATGTAAGTATGTATGCAATATTTATTGTCTATTCTATGAAGCACAGTTACCTTTTAAAAATTACTTTTTCTCTCTCACAAATTTCACTTTTAGTTAGTTTACAAACGACTTAATTGATTTATGTTCATACATACAAGTGTATATATGTATATAATTATGTATATGTATGTATATATATCAAGATAAATTCATGTATACAACACTTGGTTTGAAATTATAAAGCTGTGCTTTGGTACGCACCTACTATACATACATATATGTATTCATACATGTGTTCATACATTTGTATGTGCATACCTGCGTAGGTACTTATATAATCGTATGCATTATGACGTCATCAGATAAAAATTAAATGAGGCACTATTGCATTGTGCAGTAACGGCGTGTGAGTAATCTTTCGCTTAGTGGCAGCAAGAGTTTGGTCTGCCCAACAACATTTGAATGCGCTGAAAGGTCTGGGACGGTCACAGAGGAGCCCTACTCCTTCGCCTGCATTGCACTTGGACTTATCAGTTTAGGTGTGGACATCTTAAGTATTACCGATGACCTGCCTACCACCCATTCTTCCCTTGGAGGATACTTATTGACGAATTTTTGTCTTCCCCGTGACGAGGGAGACTCAATCCTTTTCAGTCTTGTCTCTTCGCCCAGACGAATAGAATGTTTGCATGGCAAAATCATACGCTTAGCATACTGTCTTTGAGGTTTCCGCTAGAAACAGTTGGCTGGTTTATCAGTATCAACCTCAGTACCACAATTTTAACACACACATAGTGCGACTTTGGTATAACATATGCGCCAGCCAGGAAAGTAAGTATGCTCTGGTTGATCCCAAATGAGACAATTAATGATATCAATGCGGTGGTGTTTACATTATTTTACTCTCGTTATTTAGCTTAAGTCATAGTTAAACAGGCATGGGTTGCAATAACAGCAGTATTGATGGAATTTACTTAACTTTTTCCTAGTCCAAGGGATGCAATTCTATTGCGAAATCAAATATTGGCTTGACTTAAAAAATGAGAAGTGGATCTTTATAGTTTCAGTAGACATTCCAAGCCCTCTTTCTTGTAGTCCCGTGACTTTTACATAAATATAAATTATAGAACTTAATTTGGGTATATTTTTTTTACAACAAATGTTTGTACATACAGACAGATGCACGAACACATGCATGTATCTAGTAATACATATTTTGTCACCTGGAAAATTGCTTATAATTTATACGAGTATGTACGTTAAACGGTATTTGTGCGTGAAGAAATGGAGTTGAGTGAAGTTTACTTCATTTTAATATAATATGTTGCGACCACTACTCACACAACATAACATATGTATGTAGGGATCAATATGTATTTCCTTTTTAGCAGTTTTTTGCACGCATTAACATCTAATTGTAAATAGTATATATATTTATGTGTATGGCCACTACATTAGTATTATAATATATCATGTATATGTGTGTATATGTATATAGACAGCATGTATATATGTATATTTTATTATTTTCATATTATTAAAGCTGAAACCCATGCATATATTTCATTTAGTATATTTTTTGTTTAATTTTTCCAATAGTCAATAAGGAAATTAAAACTTGTATGGGGATAGAAAAATAAGTGTTGGCATGAAAATACTCTTATTAATTTGAAAATGAGTTAATTTATATAAACAAAAAAAAAATAGTCAAAGAACTTTTTTTAATATAAATGGCTAATATATTTAAAGTATTTTTTTTTATTAAATAGGAGCATTTGTGGCGTGAGTTTGAAAATAACAATGTTGTTTATAGGAAGTATATTTCAAAAATGATTATTCTTTAACAAAAATAAACATTTATTTTCATTCATTCATTTACGCAATTCCGGCAAGGTCTACTGTGGGTTTCTGGAAAAAATATGGAATAATAAGAGTTGCCTATAAAAATGAAATATTTATAAAGTGCAAAAAAAAAATTGGAGGAATATTAAAAAATAAATAAATGCAAATAAAAAAATTAAAAGAATCAAGTAAGAAAATAAAGTAAAAAATTTAAAAAAAAAAAATAAATATAAAATAACTAAGATAAAAAATAAAACTAAAAAACATAAAATAAAAGAAAATAAAATAAATTA